CCTTCTACTCTCATATTGATTCTCATATTCTTGTACGTAAGTTTCGGAGGCCCTTGTTTGGACACATTGCTCTCAGTCTAAGTCCTTGAAGAGTCTGCACTGAGGTAACTTTCATTATCATATTCTTCCCATTATTTTGTTTATTTTTGTGTTTTACGTTCATCTGGAACGGCCCGTTCTGTAAGGAGAACGGCCCGTTCTGCATGGAGAACGGCCCGTTCTGCATGGAGAACGGCCCGTTCTGCATGGAGAACGGCCCGTTCTCCAAGCAGAACGACCCGTTCTGCAACCCGGACTTGGCTTTTCTTCTGGCTTTTCCTCTTCCTTATTTTCCTCTGCTGGTTTTTCCTCTGGCTTCTCTTCTCTGTTCTCCTCAAGCTTGACTTTAGCCACTGGTTGTTCCTACTCAAAATAAGAAGGTTTAGGGTTTCTAGGCGGTGGAAGACCTCCAATAGAAGACGACGATTTGGCCATTCTGCAGAGCAGTGCTTGTTTGCATTCCAAACTGCAAACATCATCATCAGTTTCATCACATATGTATTCACCGTAGCGGCCACATATAACACACTTGGGCTCACCTGGCAGAGCCAGTCTTTGGTCCCTAGAACTCAACTTGACATCATCATTTCCAGCATCTAAAATCACAAACAGAAAAATGAGCTCAATTGGATCATTGTTTTTCGAATTCCAAACCCACACCTCTTGAAGACGTAGCATCTAGATCAACTATCAAGACACCAAAAGTAATAAAAACAAAAAAAGTAAGTCTAAAAAATTAGAAGGCAGAGGCAAACGCAGAAGGGAAGCAAGAAGAAGGAAATATGAAAGAACCCTTCCAGTTAGATAAATTGTTGAAATCCATTCACATACTCAAAGTAAAGAGAGGGATGAAGGGAGAAGTAGTAGGAAGGAGGAAACCCTAACCACTAACCCAACGAGAATAGGAGGAAGGCTCTGAAATTGTGGTGTTGTCTAACATAAAAGGACAGGGGTGAATTATTTACGTCGGCCCTAGTAGGGTCCGACGTAAATAATTTAACAAAAATTACGAAACATGCCACCGCGTTTTTATTACGTCGGGTATTTGTATGTTCGACGTAAAATAAGTGACGTGGTATACTAATTTTCCACTAGTGGTGCATAGACTTGAACACTCAACAGTGAAGAATATAAACGAGGAAAAGGTTCCTAATTCTATTGAAAATAGAATCTGCATGCAAAATTCCACATTTTGCATCAAAAGCCATGCCATTCAAAGTAGAAAAATCAACATAGAACATAACAAAATCAAATAAGAGAAAGCCATCCGCCAATTAAGACTGAGAATTAACAAGCAAGGATTGTGATAAGGAAAAAAAAAAAAAAAGAACCTCGAGACTTTATTACTTGAGAGAATACATAGAGAAAGAATTACAATTGTCATCAGCTAACTAATTCAGTTATAAAATTGACTATTACAAACAGCTATCTAACAATTAACTCCTGAGGAATTCAAGGTGCGGTTAGCAGTTGTGCATTTTGAAGGCAAGGCTATGAAATGGCATCATGCTTTTTCAAAATCTATAAAAAATGATAATTGGACAACTGCTAAATTAAAGGCAGATTCCCATGTGAGTGCCAAAGGCAGATTCTGTGCCTTTGGAATCATTCACAATCCTTATGAAATCACTCACAAATTAAACAAAGCAACCGTTAAATTTAATTCCATTTCAAATTATTTCATCCAAAATACCTGTTGAGACATCCAAACGCTAAATTATCACGATTGTTGGAAATGTTGGCCTTCGAATTCGTCCAAGCTCAAACGCGTGACTTCCTCGAACTGAAATCCTCGAATCTACCTCTCCCTATCGATGAATTTATGAATTTGATTAGAGAAGCAGACTTTTGAGAAAAAGAGAAGTGTGCGTGTCGCAATAATAAGTTTTTGATTTTTATTCTTTTAAACATAATTAAAAAATATATTGTAATTAAGGTGGCCACGCAGGTATTTAAAGATTTGGACGGTTTTTGTGGCAGTTTTTCTAAACTGCCAGAAAAAACCCCTACTAATTACTTAATTTTTTGTAGTCATACTCTACCAGATAAAATATTGTTCAAGTATATAATATCACTATAAATAACAAAATCTTTTATTTGAATATTTAACATAACTAGTAAAAAACCAAGAACCACTCATTCAAAATAAAGAATGCTTGGTAGCTATGTCTTGATTCATACCTCGATAATTGTAAATATATGATTAGAGGTCCAATATACAATATTTTTTATTAGATAAAAGTATTTTCTGTGTCAAAATTACATATTTCATACAATTTTTTTTTTTTTTTGCTGAACTTTGATGTAATGATTTAAAGTATCTAATAAGGTACATTCAATACTATGTACAATGTATTTCTGAACACGTACGTTATAGGCAATTTATATATTTTTTTATTTTGTAGCTCATTTCTTTTATTTATTACTCTAACATTAATTTCCTACACTGGTGTTTACTTTTTATTCTTGATAAATGTACACAAAACCTATTAAAAGGATAAAAATAAAATATAATATAAAATAGTAATTTTATACTTTTAAAATACTAAAAGAAAATGTCATGTAATGACACAATCTATTACATTATATTTATTATTAAAAATTATTTTTATCGATACTATAAATACAATATGTATTGATATATTATTGAAAAAATATAAATATAAATTATAATGACATAAAAATATATTATTAAATTTTACTCAAAATTAATATTAAAATTGTGTATAGATATATATATCAAATAGATTTATGTTTACGTATATCATATTTACAGTAATATGTTTTATATGTCATTTATGTAATATTTTTTGTAGTAAAATGATAAATAAATAAAAATAAAAAAATTAAATCTTTTAAAATGATAAACTAAAAGGGAAGTATGGAAGATTCCAAATTACTCTAAACTTTCAAATTCACCAAAGCAAATATTGGTGATCTCATAATTTGCAGTGCGCTCTTTAAAAAATTCAAAAATAAAGAATAAAAATAAAGTTAGTTGCGATGGTTGATTTTCATTACCTTTTGTTCACACTATTGGATTTATATGACTTATATAATTAGTTATTTTTGTTTATTTTCCGTTTTACTTCCCTAGTATATATATTGTTTTGCTATTCTAAAATAATAACATGTATTTTCAATCAATTTGTTTTCCTTTTCTCTTCCTCCTCTCATCATGGTGTTGATCGTGCAACAGTTCTAATATGGTATTAGGAAAGACTATTCAACACGATCAAAGATCCATTCCCCAACACCCAAACTGCCATTCTAATTGATTTCCTTATCCACTCATGGTTGATCAAACAAAAGATCCAAGCCAAGATGTCTCCATTCTACATCATTCGGATGGGCCTGGCCTTGTTCTCACATCTTAGCCTCTTGATCATAAAAATTACACCACCTGGAGCAGAGCAATGTAAGTTTTCCTTTCTGTGAAAAACAAATTGGCCTTCATTGATGGTACCCTCTCGAAATCTACGAGTATTCATTCCACCTTTGATGCTTGGAAGTGAAAATAACGTTGTCATCTGTTGGTTCTACACAATTCTGTCTCCAAAGACATTATTACTAGCATCTTGTTTGCGTCTACTGCCCAAGAAATTTGGGAAGATTTAAAAACAAGATCTCAAGAAAGAATGGTCCTCGCATCTTTCAACTACAGTGCCATTTGATGTCTCTCCACCAAGGCATGGATGATATCAACACATATTATACCAAGCTCAAGTCAATCTAGGAAGAATTATCTGGCTACAAACCCTTCCAATGCACCTGTGGAGGACTTCATCAGCATCTTCAATCATTTACTGAATCTAAATATGTAATGTCATTCTTGATGGGTTTAAATGACTCCTTTTCTCAAATTCGGGGTCAAAATCTCCTTTCAGACCCCTTACCCTCCATTGGAAATGTTTTCTTTCTTGTTCTTCAAGATGAAGCCCAACGTGAAATTGTTGTCACTTCTTCTCTCCCTGTTGTTAATTCGGATAACATTGCCTATTGTTATCAACTCTTCACAACTTGACCGTTTGTTATTAAATAACATTATAAAAATTCAATTATATATATATATATATATATATATATATATTTAGTTCTTTAATTTAGTTCTTTAAATTTAAAATAAATTTATTTTTTAGTTCCTTAAATTTAAAATTAATTTTTTGGAAAATAATTTTAAAAAAAAACCTTACTTTAGTCTTTATACTCAAATTTTATTAAAATAAATTGTCAAATATTATTGTATAAAAATATACATATTTAATTTGAGTTACTTTTAGTGAAAACATCATATTAAATCCTAATACTGTATAAATATCTTAATCTATCATTTTCATATATTTATTAGTCACTTGAGAAATTAAAACAACATTTTTAAAAATTATAGGAATTAAAAATAATAATTTTAAATTTGAGGGGCCAAAAATAAATTTATCTTTAATTTAAGAGACTAAAAACCTATTTAAACCTAAAAATTATTTACATTATCGTTGTCACTGAAAGAAAAATGATGCTTATATTTACATATGTTTTGTTCTTATAGCCATAATAGATTTGGATAAAACCAAAAATTACTTCAATTTATAAATATTTAATGTAGATAAAACTCAAATATTTGCACTTATAGTTATTTCTTGTACGTTAAATTTAAAATATGATTGTTATAAAACTCACATAATAAATAATATATTATTATTATTATTTATTTGTAAATCAATATAAAATAATACAATTACAATATTAGCAAGGAAAATGAAGAGTCCAACAACCAAAAAGATTACAACTGAAATACAAATCAATCACAAATGAAACGTAAATGAAATGTAGTTCAACAAAATAGAAACAAATTTTTTAGACAGATTTTGTGACAGATTCTGGTTGTAATGGAAAAATATGTCTCTAATTCTGCCACAATTCCGATTTGTGCAATCTTTTCCCTCCCTACAAAATGAGCAAACAAGTTAGTCTCACCAATGTGTTTTCCTCAAAATTTAAGGTACCTCAATCTCCCAAAAGTTTCAGCCTCCTTTGAAGTGGTTCAATGTGTCTCAATTATCAATTTCTTTCCAAGTGTGATGAGACTTGAAAATGAACCTACCACTACACCAAGAGATAACAACCAACAGGAGAGAGTAGGAGTCAATAAAATCAAAAACTAAAAAGTACAATTAGAAGAGGCTAAACTCGGATAAGAATTAATATGACAATCAAAGAATATGAAAAGACACAAAGCAACAAATAAAAGTACAATTTTAACACTAGCTTTCAAATGAATAGTCCTAGAAATGACACTAGAGTTCATTGCAAAATGAAACAAAAATTTGTGCTAATATTTTGAGAGTTTTTAAGTGTATTTCCAGCCACTGGACAGAGTAAACCAAAGGAAAAATGCCCAAAAATTACAAGGCTAAATACTCTAAACCTTGTTTGATTTTCTAGCTTTTTGCTTTTGTTTTCTTTTTCTTTTATTGTCTTCTTGGCTCTTGTTTTTTTTTTGGTTTTTACACTGAATATGAGCACAAAAAAAGAGGCCTAAAAGTGAATTAAAAAGGTTTACAAGTGGTGGAAAAGAGGAATAGGAAGTGTAAGTGTAGTAGACAAGTTTCTATGTTACTAGTAACTAGTTTTGCTTCTAGTTTGTTCTATCTTTTGTACACTTTCTTTAATTTTCATTTTACACTTCCTAATCTGATTATATTTCTCAAACAAAGCACAAAAGACTCAAGGAATTATTGGCCTTAAATTTCTAAGTAAGAGTTTACAAGTGAAGTTCACAAAAATTGACACTAGAACATGTTACGTATAATAACATGCATAGGAATCACTCAATGAGCACTTCTAAGAGTAATTACATGTGCAACCAACAATATAACCATACCAAAATAGATACTAATGTTTATAGATTTCAAAAGAAAAAGGGACACAAGAGAAATAATGACAAGTAAAACAACTACACAAGACTTCTAAGGCAAGATTAGGAGATTAAGATATGAAAAATGCATTCAATTACTTGTTTCTCTTTGGAATTTTCTTTTGACTGAATCTTTTAGAGTTTCAAACAAGATATAAGAAAACCTAAAAAAATAAAATGCAAATACAAGAATCTCCTAAAAGTACACAACAAGATTGGTTCACAAAGATTGATGCATGAATTAAAAAAATGCAAGAAAAATTGAATTGTTCTATAGATTTATAGTTGTGACACAAAAATAATTCTAAACCATACAAACACTTATACAATCAAGAACAACATATATAACACGAATTAAGACACTAAAAAAAGTGATTAAACCAAACCAAAACATACAAGGAAGCTTAAGGAAAGTGTTTACCAAAAAGACCTTATTCTTGATGCCAAATGATGGAAACATAATGGAGCAACTAGATTGATTTGGCTTCCCCTTCAAGTTCCTCCCTAGATCTTTGGCTTCTTTACACTCATCAAACTTCTTCAAGGTCTCTAATGGAGGTAGAGACCTCTGATTTCACCTTAGAAGGTGGATAACTCTCTTCAAGTGGTGTCACTTCAAGGTAGAAGATAAACCACTTCAACTTTCACCACACTTTTAGGAAGAGGACAAGATAATTGAAAGCAATCAAACAGAGAATTTAGACTTTTGAAAGAGAGAATTCAGAGAGAATTACTCGGCAATCTCATAAATGCATCCAAAAGTGAGTTTTACAACAACCTATATATAGTGGTGGAGAAGCTTGTAGAGCATGCTAGACAAGGTAGGAACATTTAGATCTAGATTAGTCAATCATAGAATTCCAAGTGTCACCTTGTCTCCTAGGAGACAGGGAAGGGACACATAGATCTAGAAGAGTCAATCATAGGGTGCCAAGCGTCACCTTGTCCCCCTGGCAAGCCAAGTGGAAAGTGTGTTGGAGAAGCTTCACAATTTTGGCCAAATGAGAAGGATAGGCAGCCTAGCTTGATTTCCTTCATCTAATCCAATCCAAAAATCTTGAAATTGGTTTAGTTAGGTTCACCAAATTATGGTGAGACCCAGCTAAATCAATTCCTTATATTAAATGAAGAAAAACAAACTTAATATGTAAAATTTGGCCTAGGCCCATTAAGAGCCCAATTACTAGTTTCACCTACACACTTGCTATATTTGCTACCCCACAACTAATACTAAAAATATGAAAATCTATAACCCTTAATACAAGGTCAAATGGAGTAAAAGTCTCAAAGTAACATACCCTAAAATCATAAGGGTATGACCTATAAAGAAAGATAAAGGTGCCTTACAAATACAAAGACAACAATAAGTTTATACAAGTATCTACTATATACAAGGTATGTATAATAGAGACTATGAGACTACAAAGAAAAATCATATTCAATACTCAAACAAAGCATAAGTCGTCTAAGAAGCACCTCCTTTGAAGAAGCCTCTTCTAGTCTCCTAACCATGGACCCAGTCTAAGACCCAATGATCTTCAAGTGTGAGCTCCTAGTGGATGGTCATCCATCAAAATGAGTATTGTACCAAGCCCTAAACTATGGGGTCGCTTCCACTAACGTATCTTCATTCTCATCATCCAAAGCCTCATCCTCATCATTATATATATCCATGGAACCTCCATCAACATCTTGATTTCCACCACACACCACTAGACTCCGTTCAAGCATCATGTCAAGAATCATCTCTGGTGGTTGAGGCTCGTGCTACTTAGTAATCACAGCCTACCCCATTCCTATGGGGGTCAACATTTTACAAATCTTTAGTGGTTGATCTAACTTTAGAATTGTATGCAATTTTGTATAATTGATCTAATTAGTAATATTATATATAATATAACAGTTGGATTAGTTTAATTTTTATTCTATAAAAAATTATAAAGATGTCATTTTACTAATTTGACACCATAGTGTCAACCGATCCACAAATCTTGATATACATAGAGAAAATTTCCTATGAGATGGAGTTTTTATGTGAGAGTGAGAGGAATTAAATTTAACTACTAGATTAAATTTAATGACTTAAATTAAAAGATTAAAAAAAATACTATATATAACCATCTCCATATTATCGTTGTCACTATTACTATTAAGACTTTATACTATCACCATTATCTTTATTGTCATCACTGTCATCAACGTAACCACTACTACTATCACCATTTGTTACTATAGGTTATAGCGACTTCCGCACATTGGTACCACATGACATGCTGCAACCTATTTTTTGGTAAAAGAATTAAAAAAAAAAAAAAGGTAATAAATACGTGACAGAGGTATTGTTATGCTGACTAGCGCGCAACATCCCTATTAACTATCTTAGAGTAGACATTTGTTTCAAAACAAACTCATTAATATGTTTTAAGAAAAATCTTACTTTAGTCAAAAGGCCGAGTCCGTTATTATCAATTAACCCTGTTAGTAACGAGCACTAACATTTGGACTAAATTGATGGATGAAATGCACTTTGATAGATTAATTTGAAATTTTAATTCTTTCATGAACTAATTCAAACTTTCAGGACCAAAATATTGGTTTGCTCAGTTTCTTTTAATTAAAACCAAAAGCTGAGAAGGGCATGGGTGAGGGACCTACCACTTTGATCCAGAACCCATCTTCTTAAAGATGACAGATACATATATTAAAGTTTTCATACAGGGTATCGATATTTATTCTTACTGAATCAATGACCTACCATATATACTACAGATAGCCTCTCTATATATAGGTTAACTTTTGGACCGCTGCTGCACAAGAACAAGCACAAGGTGTTTTCTTATTAGTTTTTCGTTTAAAAATGGGAAGGATGGCATGCTGTGAGAAGGTAGGGTTGAAGAAAGGACCATGGACACCCGAAGAAGACAAGAAGCTTATTTCTTATGTTGAAAAACATGGTCACGGAAACTGGCGTTCAGTTCCTGCCAAAGCGGGTAATACAACATCTCCATACCTTAGTTTTAATCTCTTGTGAGTCTAAATGTTCTTGAACCATCGAGGAACCAACTTTAATTTAATTCCTAATTTTATTTATATATCCGACAAACATTTATATATAGATCTTCAAAGGTGTGGGAAGAGTTGCAGACTGAGGTGGATTAACTACCTGAAGCCAGATATAAAACGAGGAGACTTCAGCTTGGAGGAAGATCACACCATTCTTCAACTCCATGCTCTTCTAGGAAACAAGTGAAGTTTCATTTGTTTTGGTTTTGAGAATTTTCTATTGTTATAGATCGAATAACCATTGTATTGTATTTATATGCATGTTTATATTGACGTACAGATGGTCAATCATAGCAGCACATTTGCCCAAGAGAACAGACAATGAGATAAAGAACTATTGGAACACCAACATCAAGAAAAGACTCATCAGAATGGGCTTAGATCCTAAAACCCACAAACCAATGAAACCCAACACGTTTGAAGGCTATGGTGATAGTCATGATCACTCCAAGGACAGCATCAATATGGGCCACGTGGCACAATGGGAGAGTGCTCGAGTCGAAGCTGAAGCAAGAGGATCTATGTTGCAAGTAGGATCTGGATCCTCACTACTCCCTCGACTATTCCTAAGCAAAATTCCAACTCATCAACCTCTTTCAACCCAGCACGGGATAATGTATAACATGCATGCCCTAGTTCTTGCAATAAATCATGAAATTAAGTCATCAGTATCCACTTTGGGTATCCCTAAGTTTCCCACCCTTACTACCAACATTGGACAATTCACGGACGCGGAAAGCTCACGCGGTAATGTCATAGAAATTAATAGTCAAATTCAAAAAGAAATGAAAAATTATGTGTCAGACTTGAAAGATGATGATGACATTATGGTGGCTGTGGAAGCATTCAGAACAGCAAGATGTGAGAGTATTGAAGAGTTGTTTAACGGGTCCACTTCCATGGTAATATAATAACTTTTTTTGATAGAGATTTGTAGAAGAGTATGGAAATGGAAAGTGCTACTTGCATATTGGGTTGAGTGTCTCACCTTCTCTTGCAAAAATTGGTTAACTTTAACGATTCCACTGCTTATCTTTTGATGTTACGTCTTTCAGTGTGTCTTGAACTATAGTCTATATGACAGGTGCTGAATTGTCTTCAGTATAATTTTCTCGTGTTTTGATGCCAGTGTTGAGCATTCCATGTGTTTAATTAAGATCTAGTTTCCTTTATATTTAATGAACCTTTTCTCTTATAATAAAAAAATTACTGTGAGGCCATGGTCAAGAGGTTCCATGTGTCACCTATCACATCTCTTGTTTCTATATTATTCTTTATTCCTATAAATATTAGCCACGTTCATGTAATCCTATGTTATGAAAGAGATGTATCCTTTATCTTATTATAATCTATCATTTAAAATTTGTACTTATGTCATGCTTTTATATATATACTAAATATAAATAATATATATATATATATATATATATATAAATTTTATTCTTATTATTGTAATTTCTATTAATTAAAAGATATAGTGAATCATCATACTTATCACTGAGGTGATTTTCCTCAGTTACTTTCCCTTTTTCATCTTTTTTCTCTCATCTCTTACCCACCACTACTACATCTTTTCTTCTCTTTGTTTCTTTACAATGAAATTTGAAGTATCTTTACCCGCAAACAGTAAATATCATTCCGCTTGTGACGAAACTCATACCTAATCGACGTAAACACAAAAAATTACCAAATTGATTACCCTTTGATATCTACTAAATTGATCAACTTTTGATAATTACATATTTACGTATGCTCATACACATTCATACACTAAAAAATTACTATACTGGTCAACCTTTGATAATTAAGAGACATCATTATCCTTAAAAAGAAAATTTCACAATATTATAACCTTGACTTCATAGCCTTCCTGCTTTCTAGCAACTTCAAAAGGTAGGAACAAAATGAAACAATAAAAAAATGATTTAGCATCGATTGATTGACATTGCTTAGTGTGGGGGCTAAAGTTAATGGGTAAACCAGTTTATTTAGAGATGTAAGCGGGTACGGGTAACCTACAAATTTACACTGAGCTTGATCAACCCAATAAGTTCAGATCAAATTTTTTCAGTATTTGGATCAGATTCAACCCAACTCAATCAAAATCTAATACTTTATAGGTCGGGACCAACTACCAATTCGACCCGGCCAACCCAATAATAATAATAATAATAATAATAATGTTTGAATGATCATTTACTCCGGACAATACTCATTATCACTCTTATTTAGTAACAAGTTTTGTATTTTAGGTTGATAATAATGTAATAATATAATATATTATTTTAAATTTTATTTTGTATTAATTAATGTTATTTTTTTAGTTGATAATAATGTAACAATTTAATAAATTTATTTTAGAATTTAATTTGTATCATCATTTGTTTTATAAGTTGATAACATTGAATTTGCAACAAAATATCAAATGATTTACATCTATTTTGAAATATTTAAATTTTTACAAAAAATAAATAAATATAATTATATTGGTTCGATTAACTCAACCCACTACAAAAAATATACAATTTTGCGACCACCAAAATCGGTCGCTAAATTGCAAAAATCGGTCGCTATTTACCTTAGCGACCGAATTTAATCAGTCGCTAAAACCCTGGTCGCTAAGTTATTTAGCGACTGAAAAATTTTTTGTCGCTATTTAGAGACCGAAATTTTTGGTCGCTAATTCGGTCGCTAAATAGCGACCAAAAATTTCGGGCGCTAATTCGGTTGCTAAATGGTTGAGATGATTTTGGTCGCTGAAGTATATGGGACCAAATTAGTGACCGAATAAATCGGTCGCTAAATATTTATTTTTTATTTTATTAAATTTTATAGACGTCGCAAATTTGGTATCTATGAACCACTCATATTTGGCCTCTTAAGGATTTTATTTCACAATAGTTAAGTTTGTAGCATGTTATGTCCTTAATTACACAATTTTTGGACACTTCCCAGAAGGTCACCCATCCCTACATTACTCCAAGTCAAGCACGCTTAACTGTGAAGTTCTTATGAGATAAGCTACCGAAAAGCTAATGCATGTTGTTAGTATAAGTAGTACAAATTAATTCATTTAAGTTATCCTCAACTATTCAATCTCATACTTATATTATTTTTGGATCCTTATCATTTTGGTATATCCGGACTGTTATAAATATATAATAATATATATAATAATTATATTACTAATAATAATAATTATATTATATTTAATTAATCTTTATTTATATATATACTTACTTTTATAATTAACAATCTACTTATTTCTATTTAAAATTAATTTTATGATACAATTTAAATTATTTATTATAAATTTAAAAGTTTAAGTAATAATTTATATATTTTAAAATGAGAAGGGTTATAATAACATTGGTATAACTTTTATACTAAGTATTACACTGTTCAATAAATTTATATTAAATGTGAATTTTGTAAATCTAACTGATAGATTGAAAGTTCATATCACTTTATATGTTTATATCAATTTTTGTTAAAATTAATCAATAACTTAAAAGTAATCAAAGTGCTCATATTTTATTTGAAATGAATATATTACGTCAATTTTGTTTTACTAGAATAAAGTATCAAATCATCTTGAATTCATATAAGATTCTATATATATGATCTAAAATTAGCAATCGAATAGAATTACATCACTAATTGTAACTAATATTTAGCGATTGAATTTAATTCTATCACTAAAAAAATAAAATCTCTGATTTAGAGACCGAATTCAATTCCGTCACTAATTTTAACTAATATTTAGTGACCGAATTTAATTTCGTTGCTAAAAAAATCAAAATTTTTGGTTTAGCGACCGAATTAAATTCTGTCGCTAAATTTAACTACTATTTAGCGACCGAGTTCAATTCTGTCGCTAATTTTAACTAATATTTAGCGACCGAATTCAATTTCGTCGCTAAAAAATCAAAATTTCTAATTTAGAGATCAAAATAACGACCGAATTCAATTCCGTTGCTAATTTTAACTATTATTTAGCGACCGAATTAAATTTTGTCGCTAAAAAAATCAAAATTTATAATTTAGCGACCGAAATAGCGACCGAATTCAATTCCGTCGCTAATTTTAACTAATTCAGTCGCTAATTTTAACTAATAGTTAGCGACCGAATTCAATTCCGTCGCTAATTTTAACTAATACTTAGAGACCGAATTCAATTCCATCGCTAAATTTAACTACTATTTAGCGACCGAATTCAATTTCGTCGCTAAATTTAACTACTATTTAGCGACCGAATTCAATTCCATCGCTAAATTTCACTACTATTTAGCGACCGAATTAAATTTCGTCGCTAAAAAAAATCAAAATTTATAATTTAGCGACTGAAATAGCGACCGAATTCAATTTCGTCGCTAAATTTAACTTCTATTTAGCAACCCGAATTCAATTCCGTCTCTAATTTTAACTATTATTTAGCGACTGAATTAAATTCTGTCGCTAAAAAAAATAAAAAATTTATAAGTTAGCGACCGAATTCAATTTTGTTGCTAAATTTGACTATTATTTAGCGACCGATTTAAATTCCGTCGCTAATTTTAACTAATATTTAGCGACCGAATTCAATTTTGTTGCTAAATTTGACTATTATTTAGCGACCGATTTAAATTCCGTCGCTAATTTTAACTAATATTTAGCGACTGAATTAAATTTCGTCGCTAAAAAAATCAAAAATTATAATTTAGCGACCGAAATAGCGACCGAATTAAATTGGGTCGCTAAATTTAACTACTATTTAGCGACCGAATTCAATTCCGTCGCTAATTTTAACTATTATTTAGCGACCGAATTAAATTCTGTCGCTAAAAAAGTTCAAAATTTATAATTTAGCGACCGAAATAGAGACCGAATTTAGTTCCGTCGCTATAAAAATTCAAAATTTATAATTTAGCGACCGAAATAGCAACCAAATTTAATTCCGTCACAAAAATTAGAATTTCTTATTTAGCGACCGAAACAGCGACCGATTTTCTAGCGACGACTTATTTTGGTCGCTAAAGCGGTCGCTATTTTGATTTTTCATAATCGGTCGCTAAATCTGTCGCTAAATAGCGACTGATAAATTTCGGTAGCTAATTTCGGTCGCTATTTTGCAATTTTCTAGTAGTGACCTAATCCGTTCGTGATTGGGTTGGGTTGGATTGGATTTTTAAAAAAAATTACACAAATTCAACCAAATTCAATCTGTTAAATTTTGATTAGATCGGTAACAGGTTTATTCAGACTTACCCCAATCCACTCCCCTTAGACCCCTAAATTTATTATCATATATTAGTTTTATTTTTAGGATCAGTTCACTGTTTAAGTTTGATTGAATAAGATTACCAGATAATAAAAGTTTTCCTGATCAAATTTAATTTAACACAATTGTATTTTTTTATGAACTTCAAAATTATTGATTAATTTAAAACAACACACTGCACAATTGCATTCCCCCTATTTTTTTATTTATCAAATATGCCTAAATATATAAAGTTTTATATAATTTATAAAAAAAATTGATCTAATGATTCATTATTTTTTAACATGTTTGAATTATAAAAATCACTCTTTAACAACATTATAAATGTTAAACATGACTTTTGGTATGGTCTTCCCTTGTGTACATCTTGTAGGTCGTTACTTTCTAAAAATTATTTCCTTATATATTATTAAATTTTTTATTTTACCCATATGAAAGTTAAATATAAGGAACAAAATTTAGATATAATTTATTAGGTATATTTTAGTTTTGTTCTTTGATTATTAAATTAAAGTTTTGTCTTTGTAATTTGTATGATAAAAGTTTACATTAAAAACCAATATGTCATCAGGATGAAACTCTAATCTTAATTAAAAAACAACATAAAAATTATCTAAAAAATTGCTTAGAATTTTTTTTTTCATATATATAAAATACACTTTAATAATTTTTTTTCATATTTCATAAAGTTTTTCTTTTTCATACTTAAATCCTAAACCCTAAACATCTTAAACATCTTAAAGAATTACATAGAAGTTTTTTTTTTCTTTCTTTCATATATATAGAATTGACTTTAATAACTTTTTCCTATTACATAAACAACAGTCCTTTGTATACATGTTTGTGGTGGAAATGGTTTGTTTATGATTGAGTGAAATTTTTTCTCAATTATTTTTTTAGGTTTACATATTACGTATCCTAATAATGACAAGAGATTGAATGACCACCTATCAAACCTTATAGAAGATTATTTCTCTTAGTTTTTCAGTCCCACCGTCACTGGCCCTCCT